AAAAAATAAAACAGAGTTTGAAGGACCACAGATCTTTTTCAGATCTTTTAACAGGTAGTGTAAAACTAATAGAAAAATGATATATGAAAATTTGAATGGTGATTAATTAGTGTACATATACCCCCATTTTAATTGATGTGACTGGTTTTAGTACTTTAAAAAATATAAATAGTCGGCATAACACTTATGTAACAACAAAGAATGTCCACCATGCTATTATTGGCTATATGGATGATCACATTCTATTAACAAATATTTTTTTAACATTAATTATTTTAATTTTGGTCGAATTTATTTTCATTTAATAGAATGGCTACACCAATCGAAACTAATAATCCTGAAGCCTCGAATTTACATATTAATATTAGTAAAAGTACACGAAATAATGTTTCTAGGCTTATTTCATCATTTAAGTATAATAAAATCAGAATTTCTTTACATCTATTGTTAGCTATAGTGAAACTGGAAATTCATCAACTAATTATAGATTCAATGATGACTCATAATAATACTGATAACCCAGAAGATTCGTCTGATGAAGATGAAGTTTAACCAAAAGTTTGATTAGCCAATTGCATATAAATTTCCATCCAAATTTGATTTTTTGCAACACTAATACTTCTTCTTCTTCTTCTTCTTCTATATAATCGATTACATCATTATAAATAGCTGAAATATCGGTTCCATCATGCAATGTAAAAGTTTCATTTTTATAGTCTGTTTTTTCACATTTTCCTCAAACCATGGCCAACCTAATATCAGTGCATTTTCATGCTCAGGATCATCAGATACAAAAATTTCAGTAACTTTTACTTGTTTCCATTTTTTATCTTTGGTTTCAAGAGAGATATTTAATTTATTCTCTATGGGCGATCCGTTACCTTTGCCGATCCTAATTATTTGTGTATTTTATCTGATAGGTGAAATCGAAATCTCATACGATGCACAGGCCCTCATTCAACATTGAAAAAAAAAGTTTAATCGTTTTTATACAACAACAATACATGTCTCTTATTCATGAGTCTTTAGACTCTGGGCTTTGCCCATTCGTAAAACAGAGAAGATCCAGTGATCACATAATATTACATGACATTAGATCAGGTCCAGGCCAATCTGATCTAAGAACCAAGAATTCAACAGGATCAATTGATGTTTCCATAGGAGGCTTTTCTTCGACTGCGTAATTTACAAACAACATTTTGGTTATATTATTATATACTGTATCTATGACCAAGAAAAAAATCAAATCGAAATTACTTAGTCTCTACTACAAAGCACCATTATATATAATCCACGAATTATGAAAATGAGGAAGACTAGATATGCCAGCCTGTCTAAGATAATTATTAAATTCAGTAATAAAAGAATCTGGAGGATTTAAATCATCATGTTGAATCGATCCTCTTATAAGTGGAGGAGGTTCATCTTCTGAATCAGAATTAGAAGAGTCAGCCTCAGAATCGCTAAATTCGGACTCTGTTTCAGAATATTCTGAATCGTAATATTCATTTAGACCATCGAAGTCGCGTTTATGTTTGGAAAAGTTGGTTATTATAGCTTCTCCATCTGATTCCACTGCAATAAATTTAGGGAATAATAGCTTGTAGAATGTATGCAATGAAAGAGGTAATTCCCAAATATCATTTCTTAAGTGATATTGGCATTTTTCTAATTCTCGTTCTTCAATATCTTTAGGTCTATTAATATATAGTGGTGGTTTTTTGTACCTGTCAACTTGATATCCTGTATGCATTAACCATACATGTCCTAAAACCAAATCATATTCAGGCTTGTCAACAACTACAAAATTTGCTGTATCTATTCCCAAATATGAAGGTGGTACTATATCATCAAAGATATTTGGCAAAGTAACGGAAACTTTTTCTCTATCAATCCAACCCCTCTTCATCACTTTCTCGCCAGCATTTGTCGCACCAATACCAAGGTCTTTTACTGCAGGATATCTTGATCCATATTCTCTAGAAATATATAAATCCATTTTTTTGGCAAGTGCTTTACTGATACTACCGTGATAGGATTTAGGGTCAATTAGCGCTTTAACAATTGTATTTATATTAATCTTTTGCGAATTTCTCTAATTGCTTCAGCTTTCCATATATCATCTAAACTACAGCAATTTTTAAGATCTTGAATTGGAAGATGCTTCGTTATAAATGGTATTAATTCTGATGGAAGAAGATTAAGTAAATTAGGCATAATTTTAACTGGTACTTTACCAATTTTATAAGATTGAAATTATTGATATGAATATTTGGGTTAAGTTGTTTTATAGCTTTTTTTACTAATATTTTCAATCTGGAATTTTTTTCTATATATTAATAATGGTACTAGTATCTCCAATATAATTTTAATTCCAATGGTTGAAAATAATGGTAATACTGAATCAATTCATCAAGAATTACTAAATAAACTGAAAACAATAGCGGAAGTTAAAACCGAATTAGAACAAAAAATTGCAGAAGAGATTAAATCAAAGTCGACAAACAAAGAAAGAGTAACGGATAATTAGTAATTATATAGATCAATGATTTCTTCTACTGTATCTGGTTTATTATGTATCTCGACACTAGGTCTGCTATTCATTATACTATAGTGATCTGATGCAATATTAATTATTTTATGCCTCACTGCTAATTGACAGAGACGTTTACATTGAGCATTATTCTTACCTCCATGTACTATAATGGCATGACTACAACCTATTTTTCTTAAATGCGATGAGCTAATACCATGACAAGCTAAGAAGTTATTAATTGGATTAACATCTACATTACCATTTTTTCCTTTTGATAGAAATCTTTCCGGTATTGATTTTTGGATCCAGATAAGTATTTTTTTCCATTGATAAGAATGGTCTAGGTACGCTTTTTTCATTTTTGTTTTTAGCATATCCGGTACAATACCAAGAATATTTAGAATTATACCATTCATCATCACTTTGCTTGTAATGATTTATTCGAAGATTTTCTACATCTGCCGGTCTCATACACAATATTATCATTATATCTGTTAAGTTTTGCATTGAAGGAGAGCTAACCGTATTACATTTTTGTAACTGCTCTTGTACTTTTTCTAGAGTAAAGAAATCTGGACAGTCGAATCCCTCATCTTCACATAGTTCTTGCAATTCTCTCTGCCTTTTATTTGATTTATAGGTGATATCAGGTATTTTTGTAGCTTCCATTGTATGATAATCGGCTCCAAGTTTACGTAACTCTTTCCGGAGTAATACAAGACGTGAAGATTGGGCTACTTCACTGGTGGTTGTTTTTGCTAGATCGTACGCAATTTCATTTATTTCTTCTGCCTTTAAATTATTTTGCATAATATATAATGCAGTCTTCTTAATAGGTTCTCTTCCTGCTACGCGTTTCCCAGATGTTTGAACGGGGACAAGAGCATATACTTGCTCTTCACTAAAACCTAAATTTCGAAATCTATTTCTGGCGTGTTCGCGTGCTTTGGAATCCTTCAGGTCTTTATCCAATTCTTCAGCATAATTATTAAGTTTATATATGCTCATTTTAGGAGTTAGATTATTTTGATTTACGAGATTTGAAACAACTCTTGACATTGTGATTATGGGATGAATATGTAGACTATATTTATACCAAGTATTTACTATATAAAATTTATTTTTTCAAAAATTTTTCGTCACTTTCAACTTTTTATTTTTATTTTTAGAGCGTTAAAATAATTAGAATTGAATAATAGCTTTAATTTAAAATATTAGCGATGATAAACGTAAAATTAACTGGAAAAAGACAAAGAAGCAGCAATGATGAATTTTTTGACGAAAAAAAAAAAATATAGATGAAGATGAAGGTTTTTTGCTACTTGGACAAGAAAGTGAAGAAGAGGAAGATATTGGATTTTATCGTTGTCCTTATATTCTTAGAACTGATGAGGAATGTAACCGGGGAAGTTATCGCCCAGAGGGTTGTAAAGATCATTGGGATTCTCCTAGACAGTACCTTGCGAAGAGTGTGGTAGGCCAACTGGATCTAAATATAAGTTATGTATTTTACATGCTAAAAAACATCGAAGAATGGCTGAATACTACCGGAAAAAGCTTGAAAAGCTCTCCCAAAGTGGACCCGAGGTAAAAGAGCCCGAGTATACTATATTTCCGAACATTTATAAAAATCCGTCCTAGCTTGAAAAAATTCAAATCGAAAAATAATAAAAAAACAACTCAATGGGTATGTATCATTTTTTTCTGTAAATTCTTTTGATATGGTAATACGTAAAAGTAATACGCAAATGTAAGATCAAAATTTTCGATCCAGTAATACGCAAAGGTAAGATCCAATTTTTGATACGCAAAAGTATAATCCAATTTTTGATGTAGCGTATCCAATTTTATAGTGATACGTAAAAGTGCAATAAATTTTTTGATTCGGTAGTACGCCAAAGTCCAATTTTTTATATACTAATACTTAAAATGATACGCAAAAGTATAATCCAATTTTTGATGTAACGTATCCAATTTTAGTGATATATACGCAAAAGTAATACGTCAAAACATAGTGCATAAAAGTATGATCCAAAGTTTCGATCCAGTAATACGTCAAATCGCAATCATTATTTTTTATATGGTGATACGCAAAAGTAAGATTTAAAATTTTTGATATGGTGATACGCAAAGGTAGAATAATATAAGGAAGTAGTAAGAAAAATTATGCTTTTACGTATCACCAAGTGGGGTATCAATTCGACACTACGTGCTTCATCCTCGAATTCCAGTGGAATGTAAAAGCCAAAATACTGATTGCCAATTCGGCATTTCATGCCTCATCTTCCACAATCGAAAAAGTTGGCAGATTGCCTAAGAGATGTGGTATAGGAGATACGTATTTTTTTTCACGAATTGGTTTTTTAATGCAAAGTGGGGGATGGGGGGTCTATTTATACGTTTTTGTGGCAATTTATTAGACTACTAGTACTTGATTACGAAATAGACTATTTTGTATTCATAAAAATCGGTGATACGCAAAGGTAGAATAATATAAGGAAGAGGTAAGAGAAAATTGCGCTTTTGCGTATCACCAAGTGGGGTATCAATTCGGCACTTCGTGCCTCATCTCGAATTCGAAAAAGTTGGCAGTTCGTATTGTTTATAGCGATATAAGAAATGTGTATTTTTTACGAATTGGTTTTTTTGGTCCAAAGTGGATGATAGAGGTTCTATTTATATGTTTTTCATTGATTTATTAGACTACTAGCACATGATCACGAAATAGTCTATTTTATGAAAAATTACATCAATACGCATTTGCAAGCTAGGACGCTTTGCATCCGGTTCTGGAATAGCCCTCACAATTGGCACGAGATATACGAAAGTTCGAATGTGGCCAAAAACGCAAAATAGACCGCACTCGAATGATGTCATATAAGTGGATGCATTGTCGGGATCCATATGGATACTATTTTTTACGTGGCCAGAAATCAAAAATTGGCCGCATACAAATTTCATGATTCCATCTGGGCAGCCAAAAAATAAAAATTGGCCGCACTCAAATGTGGCCAAAAAAATGAAATAGGCCGCACTCAAATGTGGCCAAAAAGACGGATTAGGCCACATGGGGAGTTATAGTCTAAAATAAGTGGGGTGGTTGTATATAGCATAGTTATACTACAACCTCCCACTACATGTTATTATTGTAGTAAAACTTGGGCAAGGGGTAAACCTGCAAAATTGAAAGCACACCTAGCTAATGAATGCTTGCCTTGTCCACCAGATATTAGTAAATTTTGGAAAGATACACTTGCAATAGAAGTGGTCAATTACTCTCATTCAAAAAAAAATCCTACTACACCTCTTCCTGGTATACAACCATATATAACAGATCATTTTGGTTCAAAAAAACCTCTACCACTTTCTGTTACTGAAAGAATTGATCATGCTTTGTTGAAAGCATGGGTAATAGCTGGAATACCATTTGAAGTCATAGAAAATCCATTTGTTATAGTCCTGTTTAAGGAACTTAACCCAGGATATACACCACCGTCAAGAACAACATTATCTGGTTGGCTTTTGGACCAGGAAGTTGCTAGAGTCAATCTAAACATTGAAAAAGAGTTGGAGTCTTCCAATAATTTAACATTGAGTAAGTTTCTAATTATTTAAAATTCAAATAATTAATGTAATAAATGTGTGGGATTGTTTTCAAAATGAATTAATGATTTTAAATAATATTATATTTTTTACTTTTTTTTGCAACATTTTTTTTTTTGATTTTACTTGAAGATTTTTTTTATATTATTATATGATTGTAAGGATTAAAAGTAATTATTAATTATTAATTATTTATTTTAGCCTTAGATGGTTGGACTTCTAGAAAAAATGAATAGTTAAACAATTACATTATCTCTACACCATCTAGGAAAGAATACTTAATAGCATTAAAAAATTATTCAGGTTTTTCTCACACTGGTAACTTTCTTGCAGATGAAATTTCAGACATTGTGGAACAAATTGGTTCAGATAAATTTGCTGCTATAGTTACTGATGCTGCTCCAGCATGTTGTGTTGCGTGTGAAAAAACTGAAGAAATGTATCCTCACATTTGGGATATAAGATGTGCTGCACACTCAATAAATCCAATAGCATCAGACCTTGTAAAAATTGATGATATTGTCACCAATTAAATTTGGGAGAGTGTATTTTAATTGGTGATAACAATTATTTTTGTTTTTGCACAGATCAGAATGAATGTTCCAATGAAATTTTATTGGAACCATAAATGGCACAACACTGAAAAAAAGTTACACGAATTTTCTGCACAAAGCCCCGTCGATTTTTATTGGCCAATATTTGTATAACGTGTCATCCCCGCATTCCCTGCACTGAATTTTCAACACTGTTTGTGAAGATTTTAGACCTAGACAGGTAAATAATTAAAATTTTTTCAATTGATTTTAAATTATATAATAAATAATCAACATAATAACTATCTAGATTAATTATCTCATAAAAGAATCACAATTTGTTGGCAAAGGAGCTGATACTGTTGTTTTTTTAGTGCATAATTATTTTGAATTGTATGGTCTTGGTGAAAAAGAAATAATCATTCATGCTGATAATTGTTAGGACAAAATAAAAACAATGCAATGATTCAGTATTTAGCATGGAGAGTATTAACTGGTAAGCATAAAAGAATTACATATTCTTTTATGGTCCCTGGCCATACTAAATTTAGTCCTGATGGATTTTTTGGACTATTCAAATTGAAATTAAAAAATTCTGAAGTTGATGATTTAGAAGATCTTGTTAAAGTTGTAAATTCATCAACAAAAGGTTATAATATTGCACAAACAATTTTTGATGAAACTGGGGAAAGGAAAGTCTTATTTTACAGTTGGACTAAATACTTTAAAACTTTTTTAAACCATTGCCAAACATTTCAAAATATCATCACTTTATTTTTAATCAAGAACAACCAGGAATTATATATGTTAAAAAAAGTATTGACAGTGAACTTTTAATAGTAGACATAACTTGGAAACTTAGATAATATTGACCAAGTTTTGGAAAGAAAAAATCCAGTAGGTTTATCTGCTGTAAGAAAAAAATATTTAAGTGAAGAAGTTTCTAAGTATGTCAAAAAAAGTTTTTATTGTAATTTAATAAAATTTAGCAATGATCTACAAATCATGAATTTTGGGGGGGTCAAAATCTTATTTGTTGATTTTCTCAAAACATGATTTTTTTGACATGCCTCGTATTTACTTTAATATTATTATTTATTCTTGTTTTCACTAAGATATAAAAAAAGAAAAAAAAAAAAGAAAAATTTGTAAACTAAAATTGTCTATTCTAGAATACAAAGAGATAAAGATCAATTATTCATTTTTCAATTTTACCAAACTGATTAAAAATTTAGCAACAATCAAACTAGTTAATTTATAAATTGTAAAAACACTAATCACAAGAGTAACTAATACTAATGAAAGTAAAGCAAGGTAAACATCAAGATAATTTCCTTTGATATATCCCATTCTTGAGTTTGGAGGAATCCATTCATTTAAATATGTACTATCGATTTCATTACTGCTGCTACTACTACTACTACTACTACTACTACTAAAATTACTGTTATTGATGTTATTGTTTAATTTTTCCTTTGATTCATGTGCTTGAATTGTATATTCAATCAAATCGGCAGCCCTGTGTTTTCTTTTACTATTAATTCTAGCCAAAAATTTCATTTTTTCGCCATTAATCTTAAATTGCTCTTCACGTAACAATCGTTGTAACTTGATTAAAATTTCTTCAACGTTTAAAGTCATCTTGTCTAAAGTTAAAGCAACTCCAGCAAACTTTTCCAATTTCTCTGCATTTCCATGTTGATCCAAAGCAATTGGTAGTGCTAATATAGGTTTACCGTTATACAATGCTTCATTGGCACTACTTGCTCCGGTATGACTTAAAAATACTTTACAATTTTCATGTGCCAAAATCGAAAATTGTGGTGCAAATGATAAAATATGAATATTTGGATGTTTGTTGTTGATTATATCAATTGTATCGAACTCTTTGCCATTTGATAAAGTTATGGTTTTGGGTATTTCTTCAAGTTTTATTTTTGATAATCCCCAAATCACACCATCAAGCACATTATTCTCAATTGCTTCGATAAATGATTGTAATAATATTCCACTGTTTCTTTCTGAAACATAGAATTGTGTGCCAAACGCTACGAGCATTGTACGCGGATGATTATCTATAAATTTTTTTGTTTCTGGTGATAATGGTGGATAACTATCTGACATTATAGGTCCAATTTCCTAAATTCAAAACATTTAAAAAAAATCAAAATTTTTTTTTAAAAAAGGGGAATAAAATGAAAAAAAAATCCTCTATAAATTTACCTGAAGGATCGGCGATGATGGAAATGGAACGTCAAATCCAGAAAATGTATCAGACAAATATAAATTTTTTTTAGTTCTTTCATATAGATCGGTAGGAGCAATACCTACTTTTGCCCTAATTTCATTTATCTTTGAAATTTCAGGGAGAGTTGACAAAGCCATTACGATTTTTTGGGTTAAAAAGCACCTGAATCTTTCTAGAAACGATTCGTTTTCCATATTTACATGACAACCAAATAATGGATCAGATTTATATGGTGGTTGCTCAAGAACTACAACATCGTAATATAAATATTGCTATTATTAAACAATAAATATAATTATATAATCAATGAACACTTTATCCAACTATTTTTACTAACTTGTTAATCCGACTCCCAAAGAAACCATAGGCTTCTTCAATTTCCAAGCCATATCGAAGCACACTTCATTATTTACAAAATCACAAAGAAACAAGTCCGGCTTCACTTCATTGGACACTCTTTCATAAACATAATGTTGATTTAAATATTTATCACTTATCGTCTTGATAACTGCAGATATAAATGAGCTAGTTGCTTCTCCATAAACTATTTTTTCGAATTGTTTTCTTGCATCTATGGTATTTGTACCTAAAGAATAATGTTTAATTTTTTCATATTCAGGCTTTGAAGAATAACTACCTGGCGAAAGTAGCGTAACCTAAAAATATTTAGACGTTAATTTTTTTTACAAAAGAAAATAAATAAATTATAATGATGATTCGTTACTAACATTATAACCACGTTCGACTAGAATTTTAGATACATCTAACAAAGGTCTCAAATGACTCCATCCTAAATATTAAATTTTAACATATTTATTTATTTAATAATGTTAATAATAATAATAATAATAATAATAATAATAATAATGCACCTCCAGTAAAGCTTCCCACAATGATATTTCTAACTGTTGAATGGTCGCGTTCAGCTTTATAATTTAATTGATCGGCGTTGATCAATAATGAATTGGCAATCAAAATAACCAACAATAATTGTGTTAAAAGAAAATTGGTTAATGTTTTTTTCATGATTATAATAATAATAATGAAAGATTTTTTATGAATTGAATGATCAAGAAGATTTAAAAGTTTTTACGAGAGAAAATATTTTCTTGGTGAATTTATTAAAAATATAATAATATTTTTGTTATTACTCTTATTTGGTCATTTTATCTCTGTTATATAAGGAATAATAATATTAGGGAATAAATATTAGAGATATCATTCGTCGCCGTCATTATATTGTTTTATTTTTATTTGCTAATTATTATAATAATAAAACTCGGTTGTCAAACTTGGAAAAAATGTATGTGAAAAATTTACCATAATTATCATCGGTTAAATTTCCCCGGTCTTAATTTGTACAACTTCACCTTTCTATTTTCTTAATAAATAATAATAATAATAATTATTATTATTACAGATAATTCGAAATTTTATTCATTTGCCATTGCGGATAAAAGCTTTGCCTATAGTGTGATATATTATCCATTCCATGAATTTGTCGAGAAGACATCAGAGATATCCATGCCATTCCAAAAGGAGGAAATTTTTATCCATTGATAAAGGATTTGCCTTTCTGAAAATGTCCGATTAGGTACATTGTTTGTAAACAAAAGATGGTGATTGCAATGTGAGCAACAATAATAATACAAGTAATAGAAGGATGTGCATCAAAATCTTTATTCAAAAGGAAAAGGTCATTTAGTTAAATTGAATAAAACATATGATCCTTTACCAGATATATGATTCCTGATCAAGATCCGAATTGAATTCTTCTAAACTCCGAACTTGTATATTAAGATCTAACTAAACCTTAAGAAAAAAGGATAATAAAATTATGCGAAATTTTATTCGTAAAAAGAATGACTAATAATATTATTATTATCAATCGTCTTTTTAATATTAATAATATCTAATCTACCCATCACATCTCTCCGTTATACGTGGAGTTAACTTTAAACTTTAAATCTTATTGCATAATTTGTGTTGATTTATTAAAAAAGATAACTGGTGATGATAAACAAAAGTTTGATGAATTAAACAATATATCTTTTATTCGCCAATATGAATGCAATTAATATAATCAATATTTAAAACTCAAATAAGTTTTTATTGATTTCGAAACAAATTAGAAAATAAAAGTATTTGCATGGCCCCGACCAAATTCCGTTGATCATCATTTTCTTCTCTTTACTTTTGTTTTTTTTTGTTTTCTTTTAAATTGTTTTCTTTTAAATTGTTTTCTTTTAATTGACAATCCATCTATGAATCAGAGAAATTTATTACAAAAATGCGGGGGAGAATGAATAGTCGTCGAATAACCATAAATATTTCGAATAGTCATATTAATAATATTACACATTTCGAATATTCGAATATCGAGTGATAATAATTATGAATATTCAAATATCACTTTTATTTTGATCAGAACACCTCTAAATACAAGCAAAGCCATTTTCTTTATATATACAAAAGTATTTAAACTTGTTAGGATGTTTATTAGCGAGAAAGGCAATAATAAAAAACACATAAATATGTTCTCTGAATTTTATTTTATTTGTGTACACAAAAAAATTTTATCTTGCAAGACAAAGGTATAGATAGTAACTTTGATTTTATAAAAAGTTATTGTGTTTCCTTTAATTTTCTCCAATATAAAATAAATTTTTTTCCAGGAATCAGAAAGAATTGGATTTAATGTATTGTAAAATTCTTCATTTTTGAATTCTTTATTTTTGTTTGCTTTCAAATGACTCTTTTGTTCTGATACTTTTAGTAGAGATGTTAATCAATTATACAAAAAATAATTATAATTATAAAATCGTGTTAAATAAATTAACAGCAAGCAGTAGTAATGAATGATAATAGCAATATAGTAATAATAATAATAATAATAATAGTATAATAATATTTGAAGCAATTTTAATTTTAATTAAAATGGTGGTGTGATAATGAAAAAAAAAAATTCCCAATCTATTTTAGCCAAAAAATATTTGGCAATTCCTTCTTCATCAGTTCCTTCGTAAAGACTTTTCTCAAATTACTTTGTTACGAAATAAACTTAGCTCACGGTCTGTTGATGATCATGTTCTTTTTTGAGTCATCAAATAATAATAAAAATTTTATGTTGTAGATAAAACGGGATGACGTCCAATCGTGTTTTGGACATGTGACCTGGTTTCTTCCATTTTATTAATAATGCTGTAATATGTAAACGTTAATTCATAAGCATAAAACAATCAAAAGCTGCTACTACTATTGCTATTTGCAATGTAAAAATCGATTATTTCGATTTCGATTATTATTATCAATTATTATTATCCCTAAATGGTCATGTAACCTCCAAAATTATGTATTATGTTAATCAAAAAATAATCAATAGATTCAAATTATATAATCATAACTTTTTTCACAATGGTTAAATATACTGATGAAATGTTTGATTATCAACCTGTCGCTCATTCATCAGGAATCTTATTAAAATTAATAAATAGTATCATGAAATATATTATAATTATAAATTAATTCGTAAGCTTTTTGGATATAAATAAAGTCTATGCCAAATTTTGTATATATATATATATATTACTTCTTTGCCTGCTTATCATTCATTCACTATTATAATTGTTTTCATTATCACTTGTAAATAATTCTAATATGAATAAATTATTGAGAATTTGTTACATCATTTAATTTTGTAAAAGAATACTTTGAATAAATATTTAACAAATTGTTTTAAACGATCTT